GCGCAGCGGGGCAGAGTGGGTCGTGATTGTATATAAAAATACTTTCAATATTGATAGAATGCATACCTTTTTTCGATGTAAATAAGGATGGCCACTCATTTCCTGAAATATATCAGTCTTCTCCAGATTTTTTTAAAATATATGTGGAGAATAGTGAGGGTCAGTCTTAAAAAGACTGACTGTTTTTTTTGTTTTTTTACAGTGCCTAGTTTCGACCATGCATTTGGCCTGCTTCAGGGCTGTAATTAGCTGTATATTATTTGTCATAATTACACATTTTATGTATAAATTGATATAAATTATGCTCCTGCAACCAGGAACAACGGTGTCTTTTGTCATAACATGGCAATTTTTTTAAAATCTTTTACTGATAAGATTTCTGGAGCATTTCACACTATTTAGAGAAAATATTAAAGGAAGCCTGAAACTAACTTGTCAGCTCTTTGACATGGCCGTGATAAAGCACAAATTTTATAAAAACTGAACAAAGAGAAGTTGTGTAAAAAATAGTACTGTATTATTTTTTAAGAATAATAACTAGTTTTATAATGGTCTTTAAACTTTTCCCTGACTTCAAACGATTCTTCCACAAATTTCTTGATTTTGTTCTTGACTATTCTACAACAATAAATTTCCCTGATTTTTCCCAATTTCCCATATTTTCCAGAAAGTGTCCACCCAGTAAATGAATGTGATGAATTCATACCCCGATTACTTGTGCTCGAAATGAATAATACACAAATAATTGAAATTTGAATTACGGCCCCGCGTTAGGAACTTTAATGACGGCTCCGTGGGAGTGGCTCATTTGCCTCGCCCCGTGGGCCCTCGAGCTCGCCTCTCCAAAGGGCGCCCGCCCTGCGCCTTCCGGCCCTAATAGAAAGCGGAGACGTGCCGACTGCCGAGTTCTTCCGCGGAGCCCCTTCGGAGGTGGTCGTTCGCCGAAGAGGATGACGGGGCGAGTGGCGAGGGGGAGGGGGAGGGGGAAGAGGCCTTGGCGGGGCGGCTGAGGACCCTCCAGGGCCTCATCAGGGGGGGACAATACGTCCGGAAGTGACGCGCGCGCGGCCTGCGATCGATGCTCGACGGCACAGCTGACGCGCCGGAAGCGCTGCCGACGAGACATCGTCATCGTCATCGTTGTCGTCGTCGTCACAGCCGCCGCCGCCGCCATTTCGGGCGGCGGCACGTGAGTTCGCTTCGCGTTGCTGGTCACCTTCGGCACGTGGACGTGGCTTGCGTCACGTGACGTGGTCATGGATTCAGATGTACAGTCGCGTGCGATATTCGCGGTGTCTCGGACCTCGTTGCCTTAGATTTGGCGTGTTCTTTTCTGAAAATAAAGTTCGCTTCGCTTCTCAATTGGCTGTCTCGATGCTACAAGAGCTTGAAGTGGCGTCGAACCATGCGTAACAGAAGACTGCGTGTTCAACTGCAGCAGGTCATGGGTTTCGACCTGTATGGAGTGAATAATTTCAACAAGTGGTTGTGGCTTGAATTGCTTGTCGTAATTACACGTTTCGGAACTGAGTGACCCATCCATAATCATGCATCTCTCATATCAATCACTCCTCAAGATCATTCCTACTGTGGCGTCATATCTGTCGCCAGTACAAACGTACTATATCAGCCACGTGGACAGCGCTGGCGGAAGAGACGCTGGGCTGCACAAAGGCTAGGGAGCAAGGGAAGTTCGTGGGAGGAAACTTGGACACCCCGAACACGGCGGAAACGCGTCGGCGGACACTGCGGGTGACGCAGTTCCGTCAGCCTGCCCAGAAGGTATATAAGCGGATCCCGACCTAGCTCGATCTTCTGTTTTCATCTGATTCTTGGGCGCGTCGGTAAGGCGTCGTGTGGGTTGTGCGCGGCGTTGCATTGTAATGCATAGGCGACCGAGGCGGGGAACCGAAGCCGGCGTGCTACGTCGTGACGGTAGGTGCGGCATACTCGCTGGTATGCTCGCGTAAGGTACTGGTGCATCACACCGAACATGGTAATTAATTATCGGGCCAGCGGTGGTGGCAACAGGGAAAGTTCCTTCTTGTAACGGTCAATTTATTTGTAAATATTGTATATTGTATTATGGTGTCGGAGTATTTTATTTCCAATAAATACTAAATATTTACAAGCCGTTCATGTCTGTAATTTATTGCCCCGGCAAGACTCCACACTACCATCCGTCATTCAGCGGAATGCATCGGCAACCCCAACTGTAATCAGTTCACCTACTCAGGAAAGAGGAGGACTTGACTTCGTTTCCTGTTTGTATTAGGATCTTGATGTCAGGTAGGTGAACGGTTTCAAGATTTCACTATGCGACGCAAAGTAATATTATTTCATCACAAGCGTCCGCGAGGCTTGAGAATTCAACCCTTTAGTCCACGGGAGTTTTTCTTTTGGTACAACTGTACCTTGATATTGACTTATATACAGGAACAAAAAGCCACTGTTATCGGTCAGCGCCAGTCGGGATATTACAGTTCACCATCCGTCCGTTAAGAGCAATAAAGACAAATAAGCCAAAGTTGACGGGAATGTACTCCGTCTTCTTCTTCTTCTTCTTCTTCT